GGCGGAATCGCGAGAATGTGCCTCCCGTACAATGTGTATATGTGCCTTGTTTTGCATCATGTTTTATATGCCAAAGGCGCGCTCCCTTGTTGAAATGATCGTACCATCAAAATATTCCCACGGTTCGTTTGAGCTCGGCCGATTCAACCGTAGGCCAGGTGCTCTGTTTTTTTTGGGGGGGCTGTTTAAAGTTCCTTCCTCACCGAAAAACCCAAAGCCATCCGGCCTCTGGCTTGCGTCTCGAACTATTCTTTCTTCCGCCCTTCTGACATTCACGCAAAGCTGCGTCGGGTCCTCGGGATTCGGGCGTTCCAACGGGTCATGTAACAGTAGACTCGCAAACTCGGTCCATATCACTCGGAGGTCTACCTAGCTGTGGCATTGCCCGAGCGCTGGGTCGGTTTGTAGCATCGTGAGTCGTGGAATTGCCGGATGTTGACTGCTGGATTCGTCAGATATAGGGAGGAGCGGCGGGGATTGTAGCTCTGATTCGTCCCGAGGCCAAGACGCGTCACGTCTACCACGCATGGCCTGAACTGAATCGTTCGAATCGTTCTTCTTTACCCCCTCTCGCCGACATCCGCGCCCAATAGTGGTCTATCCGCAAAGGACGGACCTCATAGTGTGGATGAACTGAATTTGAGACTGTGGTGGACACACTCTATGTTTCCAATGGAGAATCACAGGAATCGTGGAAAGGGATCCGGGAAGAGGCTGGATAAGACTTGGCAAATACCATGCGCAAGGACAGAGGACTATATACAACTTTGCTTATATATGCATAGTATGTGGCAGTCTGGCATCGGCATACCCAATATACCCCATATGGTTCCGATAACCCTCGACCGCGACCCGATCTAGCTCAGCCGCCCTCGGCATCCCGCGCCGCACGACCGTCGCGAACTCGACCAAGCTCGCAGCTCTCTCATCTCCAAGTGGGTCGAGCCGCCATCGAATGAGCGGGGCCCCCGGATGCGCCACCAAAGCACTGTCCAGTGCCTCCAGGGAGCCAGGCTCGAATGCGGGCTGGGTGCACGGCCTCCACGCAGCGCTGGAGTATGTGATGACGAGCGCGAAGAATCGGGGGTATCTCCAATCAGAGCATGAGCATTTTCATAGTACGCACGCTGCTGTCCTCTATCTATGTGCTGGGAAGCCAGATCGGCTGTCTCGAGCAGCAATATCCAAGGATCCAGAGGCGGTGACATCCGAAAATCACGAGCGACATTTCTGGCGAGCTCATGGTGAATCGATATGGCTGACCTTGAATTAATTCCTGAATGAATATATGACTGTTTCAACTAAGTAAACACGGCTGAACATTGAATTTCCATGGAAAAATAACAAGGACTAGAAGAATATATCCGCGGTGGCGGGGGAGTTATTGGTAACCCCAGATCTGGCCAGGCCCCATGGTTTCACTCAGTATTCCCCCCAGCGTTCCCTGTTGTTATCCCTTCGATAATCACAGGGTTCGGAAACATAAACCTGGGATGGCAAAAAGCGCGAAGGCTCCAATGGTGTCTCCGAGCTCCACACATGCCTGAGGATAAGGTCGAGCGCCTTCAATCGAGTGGTGTGGTTCGGGGGGATATCACAGCGGGATTCAATCAGGTTCTGCAGAACGGAGTGGTCTGAGTCGGTGATATCGACGCTCCCCAGCCGGAGACGTATGAGGCTGGGGCATAATGGGGGGATCGGAGACAACGGGGAGGCTATTAGTTCACCGAGGATAGGCAGGAGCCCGACTGGGCGGGCGGGATGGTCTGTTAATGCAAGCTTGGCGAGTCCGGGGGCTCGCCGCAGGCACCGATGTAAAAATCCGATGTCACCCGTCGGCTGATCGAGGTACAGCGAGCGAAGAGAGCACGAAGAGCGCTCAACGAGCTGGTCGAGGGCGATCATTATATCCGAAAGAACGGGGGGATCATCGAACAAAGGAGTATCGGGAGCAGGACGGAGATTCCAGATTGTAAGCTTCTCTACCGCGGGGACGATGAAACTGTCCAAAATGCGCGCCAAGTTGAACACTGCATCCACCGCCGAAGATGCCCGCACAGAGAGCGTGTGCAGGTGTGGAAGTGTAATCCGGCGAGGGGCAAATGTCGAGACCACAGCGAAGGGGTCCGCGGGGGGGGCCCGATCGGTGGGTAATGCCAACCGACAGCTTTCCAGGTTTACACATTGCCCAATCAGGTCCAGGGTCTGTTCGATATCAGGAGTGTAAATGATATCTCGGATTCCAAGTGGAGGTCGGTAATGTGATGCCACCAGCAGGCTGGGAGCCGTTGGCCGGCGATGCGCCGAAGCGAGAGAATGCGCAGATTAGGTGGGACCGCACAGAAATTCATATACTCGTGGCCTGGTCCTGCACCCCAGCTGTTTTCAACAATTTCGATTGCTTCGAGCAACGGTACATCTTCTGGAGTGAGGCTAAGCAGACCATTAAGATCCTGGTCTGGACCTGGACGAGGGTAATCGCCTTCCAGCGACGGCTGTAGCTGATCATTGTGTCCAGAAAAGGCCATGGTATCATGCCCCAGGAGGATCCATGAAACAACGAAATCGATAATGAGCAATCACCGGAGCGTTGGAGCCAGATCTGAAGGCCCTCACTACGCTTCATGAATTTGAGATCGAGGAGCGATCCCTCGTTGGATCCAAGATGGGATTGCTGTATGGGATATGATTGGTGTACGGCGGGAATAACGACACCTCAGAGGTATGCATGATGGCGTTGTGATCCTCCGGCAGGCACGCCATGAAAATTTCCTGCAGAATTTCGGGTGGTACCGCACGCATGGGAGAGATCAGCTCGAGGTGCGGATCCACCCGTCTACGCAGCGCCAGACGCCGTCCATACGAGCTGATGAGTCGATGGTGATCTACGTCGATTTCCGCAGTCACCTTGGAGATCTTCTGTGAACCCTGAGCGCAAAATTCCAGGAGCTGTTTTCGCTCGGTTGCTGACGGGACGTAGTTCGTCCCAAGGCGATCTTGGAGGTGGTCGATCGAGAGAGACGTCGAGAGAGAATCCAAGGCCAGGTTCTGCTCACGTATAAGCTCGACGTGGAGCAGGCCCAGGACTGCCATATACGGGGTGTTCCCACTTGCTTCAAGTGTGTCAAGTGTGGCACGTAGCTGTGGGGGCGTCAGCCAGGTATGAGACTGGGGAGGCATGAACTCACGATACTCCAACTCTCGTTCCAGTTGCGTGGTATCCCAGGGACTTCTGCGCACGACCTGCTCGCATTTTAGTGATTCCATAGATCTCGTATTTCGATGCCATTGCCTTACTGGCGGAGGTAGTCTGGACCTAGAAGTTCTTCAAGATTATATGGCCAGCCATCTGGCGAGCGGGGGCTGGCTTGTGGGTCGTCCACGGCGGTCATGGTAAGCTGGTGATACGCATCGGCAACGTGTCAGACTGAGATCAGATCAAGATCAGAGCTCAAGGGCAAATCCCGAGTTGTACCAGTCTGCCTACTGCAAAGTGCTTGCCACATTTTTTGCTACTAGTAGGCAGACTGGTTACAAGTCTAGAAATCAAGACCAAACCCGTGAAACAGAAGGTAGAGGATATAAACACGCCGTTCCGAGGAGCAAACTCTTGAGTCTTAAACTGGATGCCGGCAAACCCGGTGTCCCGAACAAGGCACAAAACTCTGATGCCGACACCGCACTTTTTACTACTTTTCTTGATAGCATCACCACCGACAACTAAACATGCCTCTCGCCTTTTACTAGAGGCATCAGTGTCGTGTGCTGAGCTACGCTATCTTCCCAATTTTTCAAATCTCAGCTTGTCCTGAGCTTCTTTCCTTTTGCCTTTTATGCGCCACCGTATTCCGCTGCTATGTACAAAACTCGATACTGTACAATTACATTCAATTCGACCATCACACTTCACCCACCCCCTAGTCGATAGCGAATTTCGCTATTTTGTCACGCATCACCCAGCCGTTGGGCGAATGCCATTTTTGCCACGAACCCTCCAAATTTGCTCAAAATTGTGTCTGCGACGCGTAAAATCGAAAATTTTCATTCCGGTGGTCGAACTTTTCGATTTTACGCATCGCGGACACAATTTTGAGCAAATTTGGAGGGTTCGTGGCAAAAATGGCATTCGCCCAACGGCTGGGTGACGCGTGACAAAATAACGAAATTCGCCATCGACCAGGGGGTGGGTGAAGCGCGACGGTCAAATTGAATGTAATTGTACAGTATCGAGTTCTGTACATAGCAGTGGAATGCGGTGGCGCATCAATGGTAACACCTAGATAGAATCCGGAGAGTTTAGGCGATTGAACTACAGAAAAGGCAAAAGGAAAGAAGCTCAGGACAAGCTGACACGTGACCCAAATTACCTGTTCAACCATTCGACCACGGCCCAAATTTCGCGTGACAGAACCAAAATTTTCAAATTTACACATCGGGGAGGTGATTTTGAGCACTTTTGCGGCCTGTGTGACAAAAATTGCATTCGACCAAGGCGTGGGTTATTCGTGACAAAAAAAAAAACATTCGCCATCGATCAGGGGGTGGGTGATGTATAATGGTCGAATTGAATGTAAAAGTACAGTACATTATTACCAGGCCCCCATCGACCGGGGGCTCCCGCACAACTCTCGGCATGGCATCATGATTCAATTGTCGAACGCCATTGTGCGCAGATGCGCGCCGTGTGCTATCCAGTGTTCAGACACTTTACATCGAAGATAGGTTCGTGAGAGGGGGTACAGTCAGATGCGCTGGAAGTTGACGTTGGAATGATGATGGTCCGATGGAAAAATGAAATTACAGTTGATTCATTGACGCAAGAAGATCAGGCACGACAAAGAAACCGGCACCGGATGGAAGGCGGGCATTTCGCTGCTCGGAGGGAGGGTCGAGTTTATTTAAATTGAGAATGGAAATACGGTTGAATTGTCCCGGATGTGCCTACCAAAACACTAGAAGGGAATGAAGACCGCCAAAAGAGCTGCTATATTCCTCTGCGATCACCCGACCCCGAATCGAACGGGGGCCTTCTGCAGGCTATACACGATCGGCTGTTTGACATGCAAGGCAGATGCACACCATGTGCTACCGGGTGCTGAGACACCCTGCGTTGAGCGGGGATTTATGCGAGGAAGACAATATTGATGCTGGTCTGGGTCTGGGCTGCGTGGTGGATTTTTACGGTCGCAGGCTGAATTTAATGTTCTACTCCATCCCCGAAGCCGGCAAGAGGTTGACGCTCTACCGAAATCAAACGACCCTCAGACGCGAGCCTCGCACCAATAAGTATAGCCGATTGCGCCCAGGCATCGACGACACTAAATTTACAACATTCATTTGTTACCTTTCTCACTCCACCACACAACGCCGCTTCAACCCCGCCCGCCGTGCTCCAACGAGGTTGCTAGTATGGTCGCCCGGAGCGCCCAAATTTGTTCTTTTTGAGACGGTTGCCGCCTTTTACTGCGTTGCCATCAAATTCCTATGCCTGTAGTGGATATCTACTGTGTGAGGGAACCCAGCACGCTCCACAGGCAAAAAATCGGACCTAGGAGGGGAAGAATGGCATTTTTCGGACCGAAATAGATTAAAACCGGCTTCAAAACCCAATTTTCATAGATTAAATCGACGGATCTGGTCAGCAGAAATCGGACGGTCATCAAAGGTAGTGGCCGGGGCTTTTTTTTTAAGCCAGCAAAGCCCTTCCTTTAATACGCCTGGGAGAGACGGATCAGGGACATCAGTGATGGGTGACACGCGGCGAGCCCCGATTCGGACGCTGCAGAATGTCCTGATGCTTCATAACAGTGCACTCGATTCTTTGCTGCCCGTGGCCGAAGATCTATGACACTTCGCCGGGCGCCCCCACTGCAATACGGCCGGCCGCTGCTAGTCCCGACCGACCGACCGACCCGATCAAGACCTGACACATGAGATGACTGCGTCGATGAATGCACGTACCCACGAGCAGCCGAGCCCCGACGCCTGCTGCTACGAACCTGCCCACACGAACCTGCCCGACACCCACGCCCCGCGCTGCTGCCACGCACGACGCCGCTACCCCGCGTCCACACGATCATGATACCACTGCCGACCGGGTCCGCTACCGTGACCGTGCCCCACCCCCACCCCCACCCCCACGCCTTCCGGACGGCGGCGCCCGACTACACGCGCGCTCGGTATCCGGGTACGGGACGAGCATGCGCCCCGCTCGACCCCGCTCGACACCGTGCTAACGCGCCAGTCCCACCCCGCGCTGCGACGCCGTATAAAGTTCGCCGCTGCCCCGCACGACGCGGACACCGCCGCCGGACACCCAGCGAGCAGCATCGATGTTTGTTGCGTCGCGATGATGGCTACGAGCAGCCCGACCCACGTACCTCCGCGTCCGCTGCCCCCACTCTAGCTGCAGCCGCCGCGTATGGGCGGATCGCGCGATCGCAGGGGCGCGCGAAGGAATGCGCACCCCTGCCATGCACCGCGCCCCCATGCCTTCCGGATGGTGCGACTCCGCGCGCCAGCCCCGACGAGCCCCGCGCTTCTGCTACGCACACCGCGCCACCCGCTGCTATGCAGACACCGGGCGTACCGCACGGCACGGCGCGACGGACGACGAGGCGAGGCGGCTGCGCTGGCAATGCGCGGACGACGGGCCGCGGGCCGCGCAGGACGTACATCTGATGCTTCGTCAGACGCACGGCGCGTGGACTGGCGCGAACACCGCTTGCGCGCGGACGCGGACGACGGAGCGAGGACGGGCGAAGGAATGCGCGCGTCTTCGGGGCACTCCTGTACACGGTCTGAATTCAGGGCGAGAAGGTGGCTGCGCGAAACGCGAAAGAGGAGGCGCCGCCCCCGGACTCGGACGCATACTCGGACGCCGGGGACACGGAGACAATTTGAGAGGGGGTTTTCTGACACTGAATACATAAAATCATCGACGGATGACCTGGGTGTTGAGTACGAGGAAAGGAGGGACGAGAGAATTTTAGAGATATGGCTCAAACACGGGAATCACAGTGCAAGATACGAAACGGAGATACTATTTCTATTTCTGTTGTACCGTCCGACGTATATTGGAGGTGTCGAGGGACATTGAAATGATCGAGTAGCGGGGCTGAGCTGTTGAATTTAAAAGCCGGCCCAAAAACAACAACGGATCCCACCATGGTTCAAGCTCTAGTCAAACGGGCGCCTGCTAAGCTGTAGTATTCCGACGACTTAAATTTATGCAGCGCGGGTGCGGACCGCTCTGCTTTGAACCTTTCTAAAGAGATGTGAAAGCTGAATCTACGGGAGAGGGAGCGGCTTACTCGCCGCCGAGGATCCCGGAAATGTACAGCTGCATCGAATGAATGCACTGGCAACGATATATTATGTCGGATCATAGATGCTCTGTAGGCTTTACGGGTTCCTCGCCGCAGAACTAAAAAAGAAATGAAGACCTACGCCACTCATGGTTCAGCCCGCGTCGAACGAGCGGCTCCTGCTAAGCTGCAAGATGCACAGATATACAGCGCGGCCGCTCCGCTGTTCGAACTGTCTTGGGCAGGTGTGAATACCCAGTTTATATGAGAGGGAGAGCGTCGTTGTCCACGGACATGTAGGGCAGATTAATACTGGCCCGGATGGCTGCATGGTGCCTGAATTACAGGCCCTATGCGTTCAACATCCCGATGACGCTCACCATGCGGAGCTCGAGGCAGATTACTATCGTTCATGGGGATGTCGAGAGCGTCCAATCCGTTGGGATCAAACCTCGGGTAGAGGTCGGGTAGAGGTCGGGTAGAATTGATGTTGATGGATACTATTTTCGACCACCTACCTGGCCACCTTGACATTTAGAGCACATACTCGAGGACACCATTGAGCGTATTTGGTGCCAATGGTATCAGAAGTATACCTAACGAGTCTGAATCATTGAGATCTGCACAGTCCTTTACGTTCACATTTATTATTAATAGCATTTACTGATTCATATAATTAGCCGTAGTCTAGATTTACTTGTCAGGTGATAACCGTAGGTCGACCTTCCGCCGCGGCTGTTGCTCTGTGGCAACTACATGCATTTAAACGTTATAAAGTAGCTAAAACCATACAGAGCATGCTCAGGCATCTCTCTGTATTTTCCTTTTGATTTATACCTGCATGCCGTCCTCGGAAATCGAAACTCTACTCGTGTGAGTTTCGCGCACAGCCACACCATCGGACACTAAATCATGTACCACACCCCAAATTTCTGGTTTAAGACGAAAACTTGGACACAATATACCTTAGAAAGTAACCTATATCCACTGTGGGGACACACAACTTACCAGGATCTCACTGAGGTCCAGGGCGGGTTTCCCAATCGGGCATTTCCTAATCCGGAACGCCGACCTACGGTATGGGATGCGCCAATGAAATCAGACCATACATCAGGTTTCCCCCCCCCCCCCCCCTCCCCCAAATCTTTTTAAAAAAAAAACTTTGATTTATGATCTGACTAGGGAGACTAAATTAGCCGTGCATTCACACATATCACCGGACGAGTTCGCACGAGTCAATGAACAGCTCGAGTACATTGACGAGCATGACGAACATGCTGATATTTCTACTGGCGATAGAGTAATAGATGATAGTCTCATTGACCAAGTATTGGACAACACCGAGACAAATTCTGCCGCAGTGGTGCGGCAGGCTCAAGGACAGTCTTAACTTTGCATCATAAATAGTTTTTCAAGTTACATCGAAATTTATTCCGTACCGTTGGACCCACATATAATGAAATTTTAAAAAGTTCATGGTGTTAGTTAGCCACAATTGACTGTGAATGATCGAACGAACCTCAATTAAATATTCTCCCGATTCCGGGTGAATGAGTCCGGCCTACGATGATTGCCAGACTGTTCAGATTTATGCATCTGAGTTTCACTGGAGGAAGACTGAAATTATTAGTGAGTGTCAATTGATATGTACAAAATTACAAAGAATCACGGAGGAAATTGACCACTTCTAAAGCTTCGATGGTTTTGACAGCCACAAAGTCCCAGTTCGAAAAGGTCTTGAAGCGGAAATCCCGGCAGGAGTAAACACCCAGCAGCAGATGCAGTGGGAGGTGTAAACTCGCGCCTGCTGCTGCAGCTGCAGTGAACACACCACCGCCGAATCCGCGGAGGTATGACGATAAAAAGTGGGGCATAGGGGCATGGAGAGAATGTATGGGTAGCACCGAACTTGTGTACGTGAGTGTACAGTGCCCAGATGGGACCGTTTCGATTAAAATAAGCAAAGAAACGAGCGGTGGTGCGGGAGACGAGATGGCTGGTGATGCGCAGGAAGCGCCGAGAGCACGGGACTAATATCTTGAATTGGATTGGACATGTTCGCTATATCTCCGAATGACACAAGCTTTACGACCTGTGCCTTCGGCATGGCCACTCACTCCGCTTGCAGCCGTTCCTGCAGAAGGATCAATAGCTTGTTGGGGTTCCACCCCAAACCCCAGGGGGGCTCCGCATTTGAGTAGTAAGTCTCATAGTAATTACATGTAAATTTATCTATATATCTATGTATCTAACTGGGTATCAACTATTACATCTGCTTGAAAAGTATAGGACCCGTGCCTTTGGCGCGGCAATGTCACAGCTGATTCTCAGTGGTGAGGGTTTTTTTTTTGAAAGAAGAAATAAATATATATGTGTGTATCTAACTGGGTACCAACTACAGTGGCGCTATAATGTTCTGCACACAATCGTTTGAGCTCGTTTGGATGCCAAATGACTTCAAACAAAATACTAGCATGAACATAGAGTAGTTTTAGGAGGTTTTGAACAGTTTAACCCATACTTTCCCTGGTCAGACGGCTCACAATGTAATATTTGAGTCATTTCTGAAAAACCCAGTCTGTGGTTTTGTCATATACTGAAAAATGGTCTGCATAGCATGAAAGTACTCGGAAAATGGACGTACCTGAAATTTTGCTTCACATGAATTGATAGGGATTTGGGCTCATAACTGTGCGTTCAAGTTGACCATTTTGGGTATTTTTGGCCATTTTGTCTCGGAAATGCTAAAACTTGCCCACTTGTGCCTCACATTCTCAGCTCAAAACCC